TACGGGAATTTTGATAGTTAACTAGCATGGCACAACAAGCACTGCCAGGCCCAGGTGGGGCTGAGGCATGCCATCTGTGGTACAAGTCAGCAGATATTGCCAAATATTGTGTGTTTGCATGTACTGTGTTTGCATGGAGAAGAGAATCAATAGGTGAAAAAGAAACATTGTGGGTCTCTGGGTAGAGAAGGTAAATACTTTTCTAAATAGCTAGGCTTGCCACTTATCAGTTGACCTTGGGCAACAGACCAAATTCTCAGAGGCTCAGTTTCCTTATTTACAGTGGAGGTGCCAATTAGTGCCTGCTGGTRTGACTGAGTGAGGAATAGAGGTTCTGGGTACATTAACAGGGTGAGTAYGGGAGATAGGGTTTGTGTTAGGACTGAAAAAGATATCTCGTTAAATTTGTACCACTCTAGGGCCCCAGTAAGTCTACTGTGGAGACACTTCTAACTGAACACAGCTTCAGGGGAGATGGTCTTTCTTTGTCCCTAAAGAAGACCATGATAAATTAATAGGAGATCACACATGGCTGGGACCATCAGCAGACAGGAGCATTTCAGCAGGAATCTATTTGAACGTTGCAAGCTAACTGACCTTGTAAAGTCTTGTTGTGGAGTTGGGTGTTCAGGAATCTAGAGGTAACAATCATCTGGCCAGACCAGGGTGAACCTCCCAGCAGATTTTGGCTGGTTTATCTTGAAACCAAAAACTGCAGGACTCTGTGTGTTGCTCAGAGGTCAGTTTTTTCCAATGTGATACTTTCATGACTACACATTTTACCAACGTTACTGATTAGGATGAGACTACAGTTTGTTCCCTCCAATACTCCTGTTGAAGTTTAATCCCAATTCTGAGGTGTGTGGGAACTTAATCTATGATGTTTAGAGATGAGAGGGAGTTAGGGCTGGGGATATAGCTCAGTTGGTACAGTACTTGCCTTGCATGCACAAGGCCCTGGAATCAATCCCCAGCAACACACACACACACACACACACACACACACACACACACACA